GAGTGGGGAGTCGGCACTGCAATCCAACTCTGGCTGCTGCCATTGCTGTGAATAATAAATAGGCTGCTCTGATACAGGGGTCAGGCGCATCTGTCAGCTTAGAGATATAGACATAGACAGAGACACAGCTACATGGATACACGTAACAATGTGGCAAACTAACATAATAACTTGTAAATGAAGTAAAATCTGAGGCTCGTCATAGTTTCAGACGTAGCAGTCCCCTGCTGGCTGCCCTTCATAGACTCCTCCCCAAAACTTATCTCTGACTGCTCCCTTCCTGACTCAAATAATTTTCATGCTTCCCAGAGCCCACTGGGTCAAGTTCAAGTTCTTGGATTTGACATTTGACATGAAACTCCCCATTCTATCTCTTGAGTTCAGATCTCAGGAAGCCCACCTGGCTAAGCAGGAGCACATCAATGAAGTCCAAAGTCTTGGTCTTGGCTTTGGCCTTGAGAAAGTCATCAAGACCCTGACTGGGGAGGGTGCGGCGTCGCTCCTGGATGACGGCATCTGTGAAGTCGTGCACCAGGTGGCAGGCCTGGCGGAAGCGCTGTCCATCGCGAGTGAGATAGTACAGGAAGTCCATGTACGAGAGGATGTCCCGGCTTCTTTTTTGTATAAGGGCACTGAGCTCCACAATGGCGGCGATGTATTCACTGGGTTTCCTGCAGGATGAGGGAATGCAGAGGAAACAGCTCAACACATCTGAATCCCCAGGAGCATTTCCCACCAGCAGGCAGGATCTACCTCCCATCAGGAAACTGGATCTCCAGAAACAGATGGCCCCACAGATACACAGAGGCCATCAGCCATGAGACTTGGCTCTCCAAACCCTCTTCTCTGCCTGCATCCACCTCTGTGAGCTGCCTACGTGCCACTAGGCAGCCAGAGCATGGCTTGGACATCGTGCCCCTCCTCCTCTCTATCTCCTGCCCAATATCCCTTCCTGCCCCTTGTCGTTCCCAAAACTGTGCACACAGCTCAGATGTTATCAGATTCCACCTGGTCCATGGCCCAGCCCCGACCATAGCCTCTTGAATACAAAGTGACTCCATCTAGTGTCTACATGACAGTCAGTTCTCCACAGGGCTCAGCTTTGACCATGTCCAGTATAAGCTTCGATGGCTCCCTGGAAACCTCATAATAAATTCATACCCTTTGCCTGACTTTTCAGTGTGCTTGAGATCTAGCCCCTGTCTACCTCTACTATCTCACTTCTACTGTCTGCTGCACATGCTCTACTCCTCCCAACCTCCCTGCCTTCACCCAAACATTTCTACCTACCCCTCCCTCTCCTTCAAAGTCCAGCTGTGATGTACCTGCTCCAGAACAGCTCTTGTGGTTGTCCTCAGTCCTCCCTCGCCCACCTACCTCCTTGGGTCCACAGTTCAAGTTCTCAGGCCTTGGGCAAGGACTCACTCCTGACAATGGCTGTCGAAGCTGAAGACGCATTTCTGCAGACTGTCCAAGGTCATGAGGCTGATGTGCTCAAACATGTCCAGACGGGCACTTCCCTCCGAGGCCAGGCGCTGCCACTTGGCCTGGCCAGAGAACGGGACAGGGCTGTAGGACTGGGGCTTGACTCTTTGGAGCCCCTCCCCAACCCCAAACATCAGGATGGACACATTCAGAGCCAGCCTCTTGGTCCTCTGGCCCAGGTAGCCATCCCCAGGGAGGACCCAGCTTGGGTGAAAGCAGAAGCTTTTACTATTAGGAGATGAAGACCCGATGGCTGGGAACAAGAGACCTGAGTTCACATTTCAGCTCTGCATCCTGTGCTGAGTGTGCCCTTGGGCAACCCAGTGCCTTCCCTTAGGTCCTTCCTGTCAAATCTTCAGGAAGATTTAAGTTGACCTGCTTTGGTGCCAGATAAACCGGGTTAGTATCCCTGCTCCACCACCCCAGGACTCAGTACATGGGTAGACTTGAGTAACCCCTCTAACCTTTCTGGCCATCAGTTTCCTCTTCTGTAATGGGGTAAGTAGAAACTCTGACAGGTGCATTATAATTAAATCAGAGAATTTATATCATGGAATGGGCACAAGGAATCATTTCTGTCACATAGTGAGTGCTCAAAAATGTTGGCTTTCCTCATCTTTATTGTTATAAATGGACTGCAAAAATATCCCTATGTTGGTAGAAGTTGTCTTCCTTGGGCCCTGAGCATCCTTGCTGGGCATGCCAAGAATGCAAAGACCCATGTTCTTAACCTGGGTAATTTTCCACCCTTTGTTTGAAGAGAAGAACCTTGATGGATAAGGTAATGATTCCCCTGGACACATACCAGGCTGTGTCTGCTTGCTGTAAAATCAGATTCCCTAAGCCTAGTGCTCCTCCCCTGCATCGCAATGGACTCTAGGAACAGGCATCGATAGGATCCCGCCTGTGTCACCCACGTGGGATTGAGCGGCTTGGAAAAAGGAGGGAAACCAAGAAGAAGCACGTGCTGTTGTGCAGTGAGTAGTAAACCACCCTTTGTCTCTGACCCTGGAGTCTCGTGTCTGTGGCAGGATCCACGAAAAAGTAACAGGTTAACTTATAACCTTCCGAGTAAGAAAAAAATCTTAGGCATTTCAAAAAATCTATATCCCACCTGGAAACCATTCTTCTAAGTGAATTATCAGAAGAATGGAAAAGCAAACAGTACCTGTACTCACCATTAAATTGGAACTAATCGATCAACACTTATGTGCACATACGGAAATAACATTCATCCTAAATCCAGCGGGTGGAAGGGGGCAGGAGGAGATGGGTAATTCACACCTAACGGGTACAATGCCCACTATCTGGGTGCTGAACACACTTACAACTTTGACTCAAATGGTACTAAAGCATTTTTTTATTTCAGGGTATTATGAGGGTACAAATGTTAAGGTTACACTTTATGTCTTTGCCTTGCCCAAGCTGTAACCAAAATGTTTGTACCCCCATAATAATCTGAAATAAAAACGCAAAATATATAGATAAATCCGTAACTCCATTCTACACTTCTCCCTCTGCCCACACCCTTTGCAGTGTGATTTTTCAGCAACTTGCATTAAGACACGGAGCCTATTTTACCCAGCATCCTTTGATTCTGTGCCAGACCTTTGCCTTTTTTTTTGACCAATACGATGTGGGGAAAATGATGACACAATAACTCTACTGAGCTCCAAGAGGCATTGCAGCCTCCTCTCACTCCCTGGGAGACCTGTCCCTGCTGTGGGGACAGCCTAGGATCCCTTCTGGAGGGAGAGAATCGCGTGGAGGAAAGTCCAGCTGTCCCCGCTGAGACCATCCTAGATCAGCCTGATGCCGGCCGAGCCCCACACAGGTGAGAGACTGAGCCAGGATCAGCAATGCTGCCACCTGGCCCACAGCTGATCACACACCCTGAGTGACCCCTTCCACAGCCACAAGAACCAGCCCACTGTCCCGCAGACTTATTAGCAATCACGAGCATATTGATTAAACCAATGAGTTTGGAAGTGGTTTGTTTGCAGCAGTAGCTGCTGTGTAATCTTCATCATTGCTCTCTTGAGCTCACAGAGAGAGAAACAGAGAAACTGACACTGTCTGAGCACCTGCTATGTGCCAGGGACAGGACGCCGTTACATCGTCTTGACCTCCTTTTAAGTAGGGTTATTACACCAATTTTACATATGATGAAAACAAGTCTCAGAGAGGAAGAATTACCAAACCACCCAGCAGAGCCAGAACTCCAGCTGAGACCTGTCTGTGGGCCCTCCACCCAAGGATCCAGCTAGGACCCCAGTGTCAAGGGACTTACGTGCATTATGCTCACGCTGTCGTTGAAAAGCTTCACATAGGGCTTCAGGATGTTGAAATGGAAGGCGGGAGTCAGCATGCGACGGTGGCGGCTCCACTTGTCACCGACACTCAGCAGGAGCCCCTCCCCTAGTCGGGCAGCGAAGGGCAGTGAGCAAAGGCAAAACCTTCTCCTGCCCCACAAGGCTGTCCCCACCCCACTCGCCTGCAATTACTCACCCAGCCAGGGTTTCATGAAGCCGAAGAAGATACTATCCTTCCGTACAATGGCGGCTGGCATGAATGAGGACAATCAGGGACATGGAGGGGGCAGAGGATGGGCTGGAGGTGGGGGTGGAGGCTCCCAGCCAGGGGTCTACACTCCCCCACTCCAAGCCCAGCATAGCAGGAAAGGGGCGAAGTGCAGACAGAGCAGGGAGGATGTGGGAGGGGAAGGGCCCAGACCAGCCTGCAGGGACACTAGAGCAACACACACCCTCACAGGGCAGAGCACACACCATCATGCCTTGACATGGCCCCTACATGCCTCAGCATGTCTGCAACAGCCGAACACAGCTCAACACCCCACAAAACACCTTCCTAAGAACCTAGGATACCCTGTCTGTCCAGAACTCTCTGATGCTTCCTGACAGGGATCTCAGACATGTGACCTGACCCCGATGTGTTACAGGTCCTGACACAGCCACGGCACACGTGACAAACCCTAAATGACACAACATGGCATGAATTTGACCTGAAATGGTCTGACATGAGCTCAGCATGCCCCACGGTTGGGGCCCAGATAGGATTTAAATATAATCTTGTTCACGTCCCAGATGTGGACCAGGTGTGAGCCAGACTGTGCCCCAGGAGTGATCTGAACATACCTTAAGACCTGCCTCAGACAACACTCGTATCTCAGACAGCTCCCGGAGTGGCCCTGGGTCCCAGACCTCAGACAAGCCCGAAATATGGCCCAGATGTGACAAGCAGGAGAAAAAGCAAATCTCAAACATTTCGGACAAGAACCAGATGGGCCCCAGCATGTTCCAAGTGACCTTGGCTACAGCTGAGCCCCAGACCTGGTGATCGCCATGATTCCAGGTGTAAATCAGGTGTAACCAGGTGAAACAGGCACCAAGTGCCACCTGGACCCAGGTGTAAATATACACGTGACAAGATGTGTCCACACAGCAGACGTCACACAGACATGCTCAGACATGAGAAAACAGGGCCAGAGGTAAGACAGAGGTCAGACAGGTCAGTCCAGGGGAGACAGAGGCAGTGTCTTCTCCGCCGCCACAGCCCCTCCTGTCTGCACTCTGGTCCCCAGACCAGCTGCAGGCAGCACAGAGACCGCAGCAGTGGGCGAGCTGTGGCCAATGCAGTGTCCGTCTGATCAAAGAACATGGGCTTGATGCAGGTGGGTGGAGGATGCGGACGACCATGTCCCACGGCCTCACCGGCCGGCAGCAACATCCCCAAAGGTGCTGGCTCGGCCCTGCGTGTACAGGAGACCGTCCTGCAAGCCCCGAGTCTGGAGAAGAGCAGACAGAACCCAATTCACAGTCTTCCAGGCTGCCAGGGAGAAGGACCTGCCAGGTAGAGACGCAGCCCCGAGCCCTGGGGAGTCCGTCCCACGTCTCATCAATCTCTGCGCTGAGCCTCTGCCTTGGCATCCCCCTGCCATTCTCAAAGGCAGCAACCAGGAGCCTCAGTGACTGGACAGGAAAAGCCATTCCCCGTTTGGATCCTGTTGTGGTTTGAATGTCTGCCCCTCGGAAACTCATGTTGAACGTGGATCCCCACGTGGCGGAACTGAGAGATGGGGCCTTCAAGAGGCGACTGGATCCTGTCGGGTCTGCCCTCCTGAACACACTCATCCATTGAGGGGTTAATAAATTAATCTATTAGTGGGTTAATGGATTAATGGGATGTCACGGGAGTGGGAGTGGTGGCTTTATAAGAAGAGGAAGGCAGACCTGAGCGAGCACACTCAGTCCCCTGCCCTGCGGTGCCTTCTGCCATGCTCTGACACAGCACACGGCCCTCGCTAGAAGCTGAGCAGATAGAACAGCTCAACCTCGAACTTCCCAGCCTCCAGAACTGTGAGTATAAATTTCTTTTCTTCATAAATCACCTAGTCTCAGCTACTCAGTTACAGCAACAGATGAACTAAGAGAGATTGTAAATGCCAGTTCACCTGGGCTGTCTTTCATCCCATTTTCCAGATAGAGAAACTAACACTCTGAATGACGAAGCCCCTCACCCATGAACTCGCAGGTAGTCTTGGGCACACCTGAGACCTGAGCTTGGCTCTGTCTGAATCCAGGGCCTGAGTTCTTATCATCAAACTCCTTTGTGCCCAGAAACGATAGCTCTGGAAGCCCCACACCTGCCAAGACTGGACAATCAGAATCATAGTGAGTAGATGAGGAATTGGTCCTGTGACCCAGGCTAGGACAATCACAGTGAATCTCAGGCTACTTATGGAAGGTCTGAGGAAAAGAGGAGATGTCCAAAGCTTCTGGAACCCCTCAGGGACACCACGAGGAAAGGGTGGCCTTGCAAGAAAAAGTGATACAGTAAAAGATAAAACCAAGAGGGACACAGATGGCTGAAGAGATTGTTTCAGACCTGGATCCAGCCTTGTCTGAAGGCCACCCTCTCTGGACTTTATGGTCAACAGATTTCTTTCTTTGCTGAGATGACATGAGGATGAGTTTCCATCACTCACAACTGAAAGAGATGTCAGAAGCCAGAGACACCCAGGGACCTGCCCAGAGTCACTCAGCATTTTAGCATCAGAGCCATAGTCTCTGTGGGATGCTGCCCGTTTCCCTACTCAGCCTGGCCTGTCCAAGGAGGGGAGGGCAGAGGGCAAGGGAAGGGCACCAGGCTGCAGTGGGGCTCCTTGGAGATTCCTGGGGCCTGGAGCAGAAGAGCAATGAACATAGGCCAGACGAGCCACCAGGTGGGGTTGAAGGAGCTGAGCACTCATGCAAGCGGCCCAGGTCCTCCACCAGCTGCCAGTTCTCCTCGTTGTCCTGGACTTGGGCACATGCAAGGCTGACAGCAGGCCTGGCAGGGAGCCTGGAACACTAATGGTGATCACTGCGTCACCCTTCCTGCACTTAAAAAATTCCTCCTCATCAATCCAGACCCAGCTCCAGCAACTCCTCCTGCTGCAGGAAGCCTTCCAGCCTGCCCAAGCAGAAACTTAGTTCTACTCTGAGCTGTCATAGTGCATCTTCCTCTGGTCCATTCCTGACCACATGAAGTTGGGGAGTTCCCCCAGGACAAGGCCTTGAACTGAGAGGCCTCCTGGGGCCCCAGTGGTTCCCAGGACACCAGGGCAGGGAGCAGAGGACAGTGCAGGGAGGAGACACTGGGGTGGGGGCGGGTGAGTACATGCAGGGAAGAGGAAGGTGGCTGAGGGAAAAGAGGGAGGCAGGGACCCAGGTACTGCGGGGTCAAGCAGAAGCATCGGAGAGGAAGGGCTGGAAGCTCTTGGATGTGCCACGGCGCCGACCACCACTAGCTCTGCATGGTACCTGAGGCATTCAGGACAGGTCGGATGATGTCGGGGTGGTAAACGTTGACGAGGGGGAGGGTGGGGCCCCGCCAGAATTTGAAGCCCTGGGGGTAGGTGGCCACCAGCTGAGTCACGTCCCTCAAACCCTCCTCTGTGTTCATGACCTGCAAGCAAGACAGCGCCGTCACCTCCTGTGATGGTTAATTTCAGGTATCAGTGTGACTGGGCTAAGGGTTGCCCAGATAGCTGGTAAACATTATTTCTGCATGTGTCTGTGAGAGCTTCCAGAAGAGACGAGGAGTTGAATGGGTAAACTGAGGAAGGAAGATCCGCCCTCCCCAGTGTGGGCAGGCACCATCCAACCCACTGAGGGCCCAGAGAGAACAAAAAGGCGGAGGAGGGGACTTGGCTCTGCCTCCCGGAGCTGGGACTTCCACGTTCTCTGCCCTTGGACATCCGAGCTCCAGCTGCTGAGGCCTTCGGACTCTGACCGAGCGACATCTCCAGCACCCTGGGTCTCCATCTTGCAGTCGGCACAGGGTGGGACTTCCCAGCCTCCACAGTCCCCTGAGCCAGTTCTCGTGGTAAATCCCCTCTTCTCTGTCCAGACCTATACCAGATCTGTGTGCCCCGTGGTTCTGTGTTTCTGCGGAACACTGACTAACACGCGTCCCCAGGAGTGGCCACCGCAGATCCCCCGCAGCCTCTGGAGGTGGCGCAGCCTCTGCAGTGAACGGCGTGTGTGGATTCTGCAGAGATGGAGGGGATCTCTGCTTCCTCCTGACCCTTCTCTCCTGGGGTCGTCTCCAGATTCCACAGGTGCGTCCCGGGCAGAGGTAGGGGACGCAATCTCTGCCCACACATGGGCCACCTTGGCTCCAGAGGAAGGGTTTTCTTGTCCTGGGAGTGGTTCTGGCCTGGGGACAGCCATATGGCGATGTCCCCACAGAGGAGGTGGTGCGCAGCAGTGTGACCTCAGGATGTGTCCCTAAAGCAGGTTTCCTCATGCCCTCATGTCCTGGCTGGTGCACGTGGGCTTCAGTTCCTTCCCTGGGGAAGGGTCTGCACCCTGGGGACCGTCCAGCCTCAGCAGACCCCAGGGAGCAGAGGGGAGCTCTACCTGTATATGTGGACCATGGCTCCCACCTGTGAGCACCTTCTGCAGATCAGGCTGTGCACCTTCTCACTGAGCCTAAGGACACACACATCACCCGTCATTATAAGTGAACAGGCT